CCTTTCCTATGTTGTTATGCTGGCTGGATGGGTTCACCCTCTCCTGCCTACTATGGAAAACTTCCCACAGTTATGTGCCAGCAACGACAATAGAATGGGGGAAATAGTGCAGCCACCTCCACTTCCCCCCCACCTCACATCTACCCCACCCAGCTCTTAGGCATGTTATCCAAAGTGAGAGTGATCACAGTGAGACTCTACACAAGGGAAATCCCCTGAGGTATTGGCTCTTTTAAAAACAGGAGACTTTTGCACTGGAGAAAGAGAACATTAATCCTAGCAGAAGTCCCCTGGGCCTGTGTGCTGCCAGGTCCCTGTAGAGGCATACGTGTCTGGGGACACCCCCTTCTGCCTTCTGCAGCAGGGAGCTCATAGCCCTATTGCGACAAAGCAGCCTGTGCTTGGGAAAATGACTGTGATGGCATTGCTCTAGCGTTTGCTGCAGGAGTCCCTCCTACATTCAATCTCTGATGCCAATGACAGGACAATCATAGGCTTGACTTTTCAAGCCCTGACCCTGTGCTCAGCCCTACCCAGGGCAAATAAAGCTGGTCTTAGCACCAAAGAATTTATAGCCTGGAGGGAGATAGTTATCCAGGATTCACTTTGGGACTGGAGAAGCCACAATGTTGGTGGTGGTCCTGGGAATCTTCTCCCCTGCATGTTGCAATGAGACACTTCTCACCCGTCCCCCGATTCATTTCCTGCTAGGCAGTCAAGAGCTGTCAGCTGAGGGTGACTTTTAGCCAAGTTCAACTGTGGCAGGACTGTAGTGCATGTGAAATGCTGACCCTTACCACCCCTGTTCTGCAGGCTTGCCTGACTGTCTCTGGCTGTTTGCTAACTGCAGGGGAGGATTGGCTGTCCTGCATGCAGTACTCATGGTCCTTCCTAACCCCATTCCTCCTGCCCCCACACCTTCTGTGCCAGACACTCACTCTGACTCAGCAAGCTTTTGTGACACAGATGCTGCTTGTGACAGGGCTGTTCCTTTGAAGCCAACAGAGCAGGCTGTCCTTTAAAGCGTTAGTGGTCCATCCCTGATGCCAGTTCTACTCTGCTGGGCTGGTCGGAGTTGTGCGGACAGGGCTCTCATTCAGCATTCTCCCCAAGCATTGTCTCGCATCAGCTGTTGTTCTGCTGCTCTTTCAGTCTGTGCCCTCACTTCCTCTTTCAGAGCAGAAATCCTTGCCTCAGTCCTTCAGAAGGTTCACACAGCAGGCACATTCATTTTTGAGACACCTCGGTCTCCAGCTGCGTGAATTTACCTTGTGTAGTTGGTGCTTTCCAGTATAAAAGTGCCTTATGAAGAGGTGGGAGGACCCTTTCAGCCCATATTGCCCCAGTTCACTTGACATTGCTTTGCCAGTAACAGCTCCCACCTGACTCCATATGCCATTCTCCCTGCAGTTCACCTTCTTGGCCCTTGTGATTATTCCCTACTCATTGCATGGAGCTTTTCAGGCACTTCCTGTGCTTCTGGTCTCCCCTTTTTCTGTACATTTTCTAAATCTCATCCTGGTTTCTCCTGGCTTTTCATATCTCTCAGCTCAGACCTGCAGCACTGGAAAAGGCCCCTTCCCCCTCCTTCTCTGTTGCAGATTCATTACAATCAACTCTCCTCCTCAGCTAACTGGGTCTGCCTCCCCCTCATTCCCAGCCATACCTGGGTGATCTTCAGGAGCCTGCAGTGCCTTTGCAGTAGTTTTATTGTTCTCTTCCTGGAATTTCTTTGCATCTTGTAAAGATTTACCAGCAAATGTCTCCTTGAAGGAGAGCACTTTATACTCAAAAGCTCATCTAATAGTTCCCTCAAATATACAGCTGGTCCAATAAAATATATCACCAAACCAACCTTATTTCTTGCATATTTTTTGGACCAGCATAACTAAATTAAGGAATGCTCCGTTCCTTATTGTTCTTCAGTTTCTTATTCCCAAAGGGATTAGCCAGGACTGCAAAACTGAGATGCAGATCTACACTCTTTTTAGCAGCACTGAAGGTGGCCAGACCCTGATCCATCTCTGCATGCTTCTGACTCCCCAAGAAATGCTTTGCCTGCTGCAGCTGAATTTCATTTTCTGCCTGTGCAGTTTCCCAGAGGGTGGATGGGTATAGTCTCTTGTCTCATGTGAGGAATTGGTGTTGAGACCTGTATTTCTCTCACCACCAAATTATGGCCCTCATGGCTGGTCCTTCCTAGATAAACCTCTACAAATTCAACATGTCCTCCCATAGGCAGAGAGAGCTTTGATCTGCAGGATGTCAAGGGGGTCCAGGTCCTGGACAGGTCTCTCAGGTACATGCATGGCTGTGGAAGTGCTTTATTGCCAAGAGGCAGAATCTCTCACCCCAACCCTATTTCTGGTCAGAGATGGCTCCAGCTGCCTGAAGGGTCTCTGGGAATTTGCTGATACTTTTGAGGACTAGAAGGACAATGGCTTCTTTGTCCATAGAGCTTTTCATCTCCACCTGCTTTGCGAACAGCAGCTCAAATCCTGAAACCCTTAAACAGACTTTACTCAGCTTAGCTGGTGGCATCCATTCAAGTTTTACTCAGGTACAAGGACTTGAAAGCATTTGGCTCTTTGTAATAGCTCTGCATAATGAATCACTTCTTTCTCCACTGAAATGCCAATCCCAGCACCCCCATCAGCCATGCTTCTCCAGGGTGTGGGCTAGAACTGGAGCAGATTGCATCCTGCTGGTGCTAGGGGGAAGTAATTGCCCATTGCACAACTGATATTTGTACTGGTTGGAAAAGCCAGGGGATCTTTTAATGTCCTTGTGGGTCTTCAGGAGATACCAGGGTCACCTTGTAGGGGCCTTGATTTACAACTGAATGAGGAGACTGAGTTCCTAGGCCTAGCCAGGCTTGGCACAGGAGTTGGAGGCTGATATCATCAGGGGAGGTGTTGCTGCCCAGCATCAGAGTCCTGGGGGCCAGATTGCTTTGACTCCCAAGGAAGCCCACCCTGCGTGAGACATCTGGGTGAGGAGGAACCTTTGCTTGCTGTTGTATTTCTGTGCTCAAACCATGTTGAATTTCTTTAATGTCAGATTTTTGGCTGTGCATTGGAGTCCTACCTAGGGACCTGGAGTGCATAGCAATAGGCACCATATACAAACTGAGCAGAATAGTAGGCCCTGCCTCAAAGTGCTCCATCCTTCCCATCTGCCCTATGATCCTACTGGTATCCAGCCTTCCTCTCACCAGGTGTTGCTGATTATAGAAAGAGGTGGTTAGCTGTGCTAGTCTGAAGTCGGGCAGAAGGCAGGGTAGGGATGCACCTTACAGACCAACTAAATCGTATGAGCACACTTTTGTGAGCCCAAGATCACTTCATCAGATGCCATCTTGTGAAGACATAAGCTTGGGCTAACAAAAGCTTACGCATCTCTGATTTAGGTAGTTTGCGAGGTGCATCTCTACCCTGCCTTCTGTTATTGATTAGCTTACTCTGTAGCCTGACAGTGACACAACAGTGCCAAGGTGCTGTTATGTTAACAATGCAGTGGCTCAAATACTTGCTTCAATGAGCATGTCAGTGTACACTCACAGGTGGATATTTTGAGTGGCCTGAGTACTGGCTCTGGAGTGCTTGGGGTTTGCAATAGTACAACCAGGGCAGTTACTGTGTCTTTTATGTTTGCACAGCATCTTGTATGGTGGGGATCCAGTCCCAGTCCATGCTGGGGCCTTTGGGTGCTACCAGCATATCAGTGTTTCTCACCCCTGCTGACATATCGGCACCCAAGCATGTGAGTGCTGACATTTGAAAATCTGGCCCAGACTTTTAAGAAGGAAATAAACCGACAGTAGTAAGACAAGCATAAGGGAATCAGCAGCTAGTGGTTTTCAGAGGACTTCCAAGGCAGTCTGCGACTCTCGCTGCCACCTGTGATGTGGGCTGTCAGCACAGCCTGCAGTGTGAGGAGGGGGAAGAGACTAGCCCACAGTCCTGGTGGGCTAGTGGCAGAGAAGCCAGGAGCCCAATGGTGCTCAGGGCCACATACAGCCCTAGTGGGGACTTGTGCAGCACAGCCTGGAGAAAATGCCCATCATGTGGAGACTGCACATGGAGCAGTGGGGACAGTGAAGCGCCAAGAAGTGACATATAAGAGGATGTATGGCCTCCAACCAGCCTGGGGTGCATGATTCCCCCTCCTGCCCCCTAGGTCTCCAGTGTCTCTCTGCCTGCCACATGTAGCAGTGAGAGGGATGTTATGCTCTGCAGGACCACTTCTAAGCAGAAAGTGATCCCACCCCCAATTCTCCTACAGGCCTCTTCCCAGAGGGATGTGTGTGGTTTCACATGCTCCATTCACTAAAGACTTTGTTGGCTACTAATGCTCTGGCTCCTACCACCCCCTTCCCCCCACAATGCTGAGAATGCCTGAAGCCAAGGGCGCGTTATGGAGATCAACTCCCCATGCCTGGCTTGGGACTCCTGCCGGGTCCCATGGTGCTGTGCTGCTGCTGCTGCAACAACAGGTTCCTCCCCGTGCCGGCCAGCAGGGGTTGCTGTGATGCACTCTGCTCCCTGCGGCCCCCAGTGCTGCTCTGTCAGGGCCTTTTGGTTCCACATCCCACCACTCCCCTGTTTTCGCTAGGCGAGTTTGGCCCATATCTGCCATGCCTATCCCAGTCCTTCCAACTACCCAGGTCCCCTTGCACTGCTTGCTGCCTCTTTAGGTTCCCTGCAGCAAGGCTGATGGGTATTGTGCACCCTGCAACTGGCCACAGCCCTGTCTTGTTCAGAGAGCAGCATGTTCCTCCTCACTCATCCCCTGTTCCAGTCCCAGAGACACCCACCCCACACAGTCTCCCAGCCCTGGCCAAGAGCAATACATCCAGTTCTTCCAGCCACACCTCTTCCCCCATTGGTGCCAGCAGAAGAAGGAGCAGTTACCCTGGTGCCATGCCTGCTCTCAGCTCAACTGCTTGCCCCTCTCTTCATAGCGTTCACCCGCTGACCACTGTTCTCTTGTCTCCCCAGGCACTGTACGGCTCCATCAAGAATGAGAAGTTGCAGTGGGCCATGTGAGTATCACCCCTGGCTTGTCAGGATCCTGCCCTCTATGGCTCAGCTCATCAGTGCAGGAGATCCCACTCCTCCTTGCTCTGTCTGTGGGATTTGCTTCACCTGTTCCCCTCCTTCTGGACAGGAAGGCAGCAGGTGTGACCCACAAAAGAGATCATACCCTTAGCTCAGGGAGGGAGAGGGGGCGATTGCTGCTGACTTCCCTGGGCTGGGGTTGGGCCCTGTGTCATGTGGTGTGTCATGTGGTGCCTGGGCTGGGGTTGGGCACTGTGCTAGGTGCTGGGAATGGGCAAGGAGCCTACCAGGGAATAGGCCTGAAGTGATAAGGGGTCCAGTAGAGACACCCTGGCAACAAAGCACAAGTGAAACCAGGCTGGGACTGCCCATGGAAGGGACACAGTTTTCAGTCCTGCTGCAGCTACCAGGGTTAACAGCCCCACACAAAGCTATACAGCAGGGGTCAGCAACCCCTGGCATATGTGCCGAGCATGGCACGCAAGGCCATTTTGCTTGGCACACCACTGCCAGCCCGGGCTCTAAGCAGCTGCTGCCAGCCACGGAGCCCAGGTTGCTCCCAGCAGGCAACTGGGAGGCAACAAACAGCTGCTCTGGGCTCCGGCATGTCGTCACTCCAGCACCTTCCAAGGTAAACATTGTAGTTTTTTCCGCACTCCAGCCAAAAAACGTTGCCTACCCCGGCTATACAGCAAAGGGAAAACTACTTGTGTGTGAGCAGAGCTCCATTAAAGTTAGGGTGACCATCTCCGAGCCTGTGAGTGTGAGACCTGTGAAGGCCAGAAAAGGGAAGCAACGCCCAGGAGGATCTACGCAGGTTTCCATGGCAGAATAGGGATTTCTTCAGGGGAGCTGGGGCCTAGAAAAGGGTGGGGAACAATCAAGCCTTCCAATTTTTTTTTTCTTTAAATTTCCTGTCTTGGGCCAAATGAGCCAAAGCAGTTCCAAATTTCAACTGAGCAGAATTCAATTGTTCAAGTCTGTGTGGTGCTTCCACCAGCAAGTATCCTCCCTCCCAGACTCTTCGGTCTAGGGCTTCAGATGCTTCCAAATCCATGGCAGAATTGTACAAGCCACAAGCCCAGAGGCCTTGGGGTTCCTATGCCCCCTAGTCTCACTTGCCTCTGGCCAAAAGGCCAAGGGATCAAGCTGGAGGGAAAGCCCAAGAGCAATCCCCCATCACCATCCATTGTGTAGCCAAGATCCTTGCAGGGAGGATCTGCATGGCTTAGCTGGGAATGGGGAGATGATCCTGCCTTGGCGAGGCCCATGCAGTGTCACTGGGGATTGAGGATGATGATGACACTAGGCCTGGTGGAATCTGTGCAGACCTGGGCATGTTTCTGGGGATAGTTAACATTGACTGCAGGGTGATTCGTGGGTTGACTGGCCCAGGCTGACGTAGACATGGAGGGATGTGCACAGGCACAATCAGGGGAAGGGGAATGGGGCTGTTAAAGCCTGTGTGGGTGTTCAGGACGGGACACAACAGGTGGGCTCTGCATGTGCATCCCTGGTTGGGGGAGCAGGCAGTGTGCACAGAGCAGAGCTGTCAGTGCAGCCCTAGGTGGTGGGAAGGGACAAACACAGCAGAGCAGTCCAAAGCAGTGCAGCATGGAAAGGCTGAGGCTGTTTTAGGGTGCATGCAGGCATCCCTTCACAGCATGGAGGTGACAACCCCCTAATGTGCTGAGCAGATGCACCCACTACAGTGTGTTCAGTTCTGGGCCCTGGTTGCCATGAGGAGGTTCAGGGGGAGCAGCAGAAATGGCTGTGGGTGGAAAGCAAGGCCTAGAAGGATGTGTGCTTGTATGGCTGGCTCAGCACAGATTAAGGGGGAGCATGCTAATTGTCTACAGCTGTTAGGAGAGGTGAAGCACAGGGAGTGGGAGATCTTCTGGAATCTAGAGCACAGAAGTGTGGCTGGGAGGGGGGGGGGGGGGGGTTTGGGGGAGAGCCTCCACCATCCTGTCACATGGCACTTCTCACACTGAGTGGGCCATAGTCCTAGGAGCAAGGGAAGGTCTGGGCTGGCGCCCCTGCTCCGTTTTGGCTCCATAGGCAAGGGAAGCAATTTGTTCTGTCAGGAAAACGGAGCATCTTCCCTCGCTTAGCCTCCCAGTTTGGGTGGGGAGATCTGACAGACACCACCTCCCCCCATCAGCCGTGAGGGGGCTGCTGCCTCCAGGAGAACTCACCAGCCTAGTGCTTGCCCAGCCCTTGGGATAGTGCCCACCCCAGGGGGTACCCATCCCTTCATGTTGGCAAGATCTGCTGTGAATGCTGGTGTGGGGATGTCTGAGCCAGGTGCCAGTGTCCTCCCCAGCTTGGCTTGGCCTTGCCCCACCTCTGTGGCTTCGGACCAGCCTCTGAGCTCATGCCTGGCTGAGGCAGCAGCTGCCAGAATGGGGCCACATCCTGTACTGGGCAAGGTGGGAGCACCTCATGAACGGTGCTGTGCAGGAGGGTGGGACTGTTGATTTGGGGAGGGGTTTGCCCACCTGAGGTGGCAAGGTGGGAAGCCAGGCTCACTAGGGGAGCTGGCATTCACCCGTAGGACCTGAGTGGACTTAGTGCAGGGCCCAAATGCCCTGGCATCCCTGCCCCTCACCCTACAGCTGCCACCCCCTAACCAGCAGCAGCCTTGTTGCTGGGATTAATCAGCCTACCACGTAATCCCAGCTCTGAGCCAATGGGGCCAGGGTCGCTGTCATGGAGACGCTGGTGGCTGCTGAGGGGTTTAATTAGCAGCTGTGCAGTTGCAAGAAAGCAGGGAAGCAGCGGCTCTAGGCTCCCACCTCTGTGCTGGGGAGCAGCATTTCCTGAGCAGAGCCCAGGACACAGTAGGGGGCATGATTCATGGGCTTAGAGCATATCAGCAAGGGCCCACCCTCCCTTCCTCCAGCCATCTGCCCCCGCCTGTATGCGTGCTCCCTCCTGTCAGTGCCTGTAGCACCCAGGGCCAGCTTGTGCCAACCCTCAGCCCTTCCCCAGGCCTGTGTCAGGTTTTTGAGCCAGCACCCATTCTTGCAGGTGCCCATTCCCAGTGATGGGAACCAAGCCCTCTATGGGCCATAACTCTGCTCTTCTCCCTCAAAAGGAGCCAGGGCTAGGCCTGAGTTTTCCCCTCCTTGATCCTCCAAGAGGAGGGTGGGCCTGTGGGGCTGAGATGGCCCCTGCAGTGCCAGGCTCTGAGGCACTGGCTTTCTCCTAGGCTGCAGAGGTGAACCTATCCCATAAGGGATATGGGGGGGTCCCTGCTCTGAGCAGCTTTTGGAGCCTTGCATTCAAAGAGAGCTCCCAACCAAGGAGAACAGTGGTGTGACAGCTGGCAGCCTGGCAGAGCTGGGAAGGAGCGCAGAGGGCTCATGGGTGTGGTGAATGGACTCCCCCTCACTGCATCCGCCTGCCTCTGAGTTGGGATTCCAGTCTGAGGGCCAGGTGGTTCAGAGTGGGCTGGGAGCTGGTATTACCTGGCCCTGGTGATGCTAAGCCTTGCAATGTGTATTCTGCAGAGACGAGGAGGAGCTGAGGAAGTCCCTCTCAGAGCTGGCCGATCCCAACCCCAAATCCATCAAGCGCATCAGCAGCTGCAGTAACCCCTTCCTAGACTTCTCACAAGACCCCAGCATCGCCACCTACAAGCACGGCCTGCTGGTGCGCAAGATGCATGCTGATCCTGACTGCAAGAAAAGTAGGTGCCCGGTGGCTCTGGAGCTGGGGGTGGTTTCAATGGATCACGGGCAGAGCTCACTCTTACTGGGGGCAGCGGGAGAACTCCTGCAAGTTAGGACAGCCAGGAATCCCAGTGAGTCACTGGTGGGCTCTGGCTTGCATGCCACATGCCCAGGCCATGTTGGCACCAAGTTCTTCAGCCACATGGGAAGTGGACTCCCAGCAGAATCAGGTCTGGCTCAGCACTGTCATGCCTAGTGCCAGGCAAGGGCTCCCTGCACTCTTTTGACCCCTTGGAAACAAAGCCCTGCTTGGTAGCCTGGTCATTCTCTTGCCCTGCCCTGCCCTGCCCTGCCCTGCCCTGCCCTTCCATCACAGCTGAGCGCACGCCTGATATCCACATACACTACAGCATCCAGAGCTACCATGGGCTTGAGAGCTCTCAGGGCTGCCATTGGGTGGGAGCAGTGTGCTTCCAGCTGGAGGTGATGCTTCGTACCATGCAGCATGGCAGCTGGGCCTTGGTTGCAGGAGGCAGGCTGGGGAAAGGAACAGGAACAGCAGGAGTATGGGACCAGGCCAAGGCTGCGCGTGGATTTATCACATGGCCCCGGCTCAGGCCTGGGGGATGGGGCCAGTGGTGTGGCGCTGTCTGTGGTGCTGAATGGACCCATTCCCCTGGAGACGAGGAGGAGCCCAGCTGCAGGCTCAGTGCTGAGCAGGCTGCCCTGCCATTGAACTGTTAGTGAAATCTATCCAGGGCAGAGCCGGCCATGAAGGCACCCAACACTGCAGAGCTCGAGCTGGCCTGAGAGCTCCAATTGGCTGGCTGTTGCAGAGCACCCCTCTGTCCACCACAAAAGCCTCATTAAGCCCCAGCTGTTTAATGCCTCCTTGATCTGATTAGATAGTGCCTGTATTCTCTGTGGCTGCCACGGTGCACAGTTACCTGACAGGGAGCATGGCCTTTACCTGCCTCGTCTTAAGTGGCGAGCATAGCCTCTGCACACAGCAAGAAGCACACCAGCCCATGCCGAGGTGGCCTGGCAGGGGTGGCATGCAGCAGCCCTCCCCCACAGCAGTGCCATCTGCTGACCCAGAGAGGGCATGGCTCAGGTGTGCCACTCCAACATGGTTTCTTCTGGAGCAGTGCCCATCCCCAACCCAGGATGAGGGCAATGGCAGTACTTGCTGGTCTGCTTGATGTTGACTGTCTTGTGTTTTGCTTTTCCTTGCCAGCACCCAGGGGGAAGAGAGGCTGGAAGACATTCCATGCCATCCTGAAGGGAATGATCCTCTACTTGCAGAAGGTACAGAGCAACTCGCCTCCTGGGCAGCAGGGGGCAGCTGGAACGGCAACAAGACATCCCCAGCCCCCAGGGGTTAGGCACCCCCTGTTCATTGCTGTTTTGCTGGTACATGGGGCGTTACTGCAATGAGGGAAGGGCCAGACAGAGGGTGTTGCATCCCCAAGGTGTGCCACCCTTGCCAAGGTCTATTATCCCATAGCAGGACAAGCCATGGCCAGGGAATCCACCTTTTCTCCAACAGTCATCATTAGACTGCATATCAAAGGCAGCAATTTTCAGCAGGGTCCTGGGAGAGCAGCAAATCTGCAGCTTCCCCACTGCCCTTGTTCCACGGAGCATGGTCTCTGCTGATGGCTAATCCATGATCAGTCCCTGTTGCTGATGGAAGCAGCGGCCACACATGCAGTGTGGTGCAGCGCCCCCTGGTGGACAAAGCCACGAGACGTGCAAACCTACGAGTCTTGCATCCTAAAGGGAGCACATCAAGCCTGTTTGTCTCAAGTGTGAGCTCCTGGAGCAGGTGGTCATTTCTGGTGAGGCCTAGCCTCCTTGGAGCAATCTAGCCTGGCATGGGCAGCAGTGGGAGGCTGTAGTGCCTGCATTCCCAGGTTCTGCCATTGTGCCCCAGTAGAGCTGAACGAAAGCCCCTTTGGGGTTGTGGGGCAGGGCTCATATGAAATGGTGGCCTTGCCTTTCAGGAGGAGTATAAGCCTGGGAAGCCCCTGGCAGAGGAGGAGCTGAAGAATGCCATCAGTATCCACCATTCACTAGCCACACGGGCATCTGACTATAGCAAGAGACCCAATGTCTTCTACCTCAGGACAGCTGACTGGAGGGTCTTTCTCTTCCAGGCACAGTGAGTAGCCACAGCAGCAGCAACACAGCCTGCATTCGGCAGAACTCTCTGCACTGGTAACACATAGCAGCCCTAGATGCCTGAATCAGACTGCACTATAGGGGTTGCCCAGCACAGCCATCACGTGGGGCCACAGTTGCCATCCCTGCAGCTGGGGAAGGATCCAGGCACTGGAATGCTTCTCCCATGGCCACAATCCTGTGCTACGGTCTAGGTAAAAAGGGAGGGGTGAGGGATTGTCCAGCTTCTCCCAGCCGTGTGCTCAGCAAGAAGCAGCTGACAGCCTGCCCTGTCACCAACTCCCACCCTTTCCCTGTGGAGGGAAGCGCTCGCTTTGTATAGTCCTGCTTGGCTTAGGGAGCTGATGCTCTTGTGAGGCAGAGCACAAGCTAAATCCTGGCTGGGACTAGAAGGGTGGACATATGGTACCTCTAGTCCTGAGTAATATGACTTTACTCTGGGGTTAAAAGCAGAGCAGATGCACAGCACAGCCCTGCACCAATGCCAGTCACTCCAGTACAGCAACTCAGAAGATGAGGAGTGGAAATTACACCATGTTCCAGTTTCATAGTTGGTAGGGTCGGAAGGGACCTGAGCAGATCATCAAGTCCAAGCCCCTGCCCTGGGCAGGAAAGAGTACTGGGATCATAATACCCCAGCCAGATATTTATCCATCCTCCTCTTGAAGATCCCCAAGGTAGGGAAGAACACTACTTCCCTTGGGAGCCCATTCCAGAGACTGACAGCCTTAACCGTAAAGTAATGTCTTCT